AATCAACGACAGCCTCCTGGAGTAGCAACGGTGCGCACACCACTGCCGTCACTACTGCTGCCGAAACAAACTTTTTTCTGTGTTTTTTTCCTGTACGTAGAACGACACATCAGTTCAACTTCTGAAACGGTGGTGAAATGGAAGCCGACCGACTTAGCCGAGAAGAACAAATTTCCGATGAGGCGTTCGCAACAGATGGTCATCGCAAGGACTCGAATTGAGGTCATTAAATGTACTGCTGCAGGCCAATCGATACCATAAAGACTCCCGTGACTCTCCAACGGAGGCGAACCTTCACATTTCAGTTATTTAACTACATGCGGCCAATTTCTGTCCTTCAGAAATTCAACTTTTGCGTTAACGTTCTAGAAAACTCTCAAAGACTGAAACGATTGCTCGCATACAGTCAACGGTTGACGGACAGTTGTAATTTGGAACTGATACGTAAATACTCCAGCTTTAAAACACATCTGTCTACGAACAAAACGCCCTTATCAGTATTATTCCGCTCGGAAGAATTTCATGTAGCCATCGTTCATGGTGCTCTCTATTTTTTACATATAAAATAATCGCTCATGACCTAGAGATGGGTGCTACAGATTGCCCATTCATACGAAACGTCGTTCCTTTCAATTCACAGATGGGCTTCTTTCAAATTAAACAGTGCAAAGCAACACGATTCTTCAACAAAAAATTAATTAACAAATTATTATGAATGAAAATCAATATAAATAACGGTTCAAAGCCTCGATAAATTTTTACTTTAACGTGGAGAGTTTTCAGAACCCGAAACTAAACGCTTTTTCCTTTCAAAAATACGAACATACGACACATACAGCGTTCAGAAATTACCGTTGCAAATTTTTGAGATAAACGCTTCACGTAATGGAAGAAGTTAATATTGCCTTGCATGTATAAAAGGAATACTTTTATAGCAGTACCTCATTAACAGTGAGCAAGATACTGCCCTGACTAATTAAGTGATGAAATATTATCGACGAATTGCAACAATGGAAACGGTCTATTAAATCGATTATATTTCTTTATGGGCGCTCTGACGTTAACCGAAAATTTTTATGTATGAGGTACTGTTTTTAATGTTGTGATGAAATATTTTCGGGTACCAAGTATTAGTACTTTGCAATGCAATATGGTTTTTTAATATTGGGGCTCAAATATCAATGAGCCGATGGCTGTTTAAATACTCGCCAGGACAGCTAGAAGTCAGGAAACGATGCAACGCACCGTAAAACCCGGTTTTAGTGGAGTTATGTATGAATTAACATACTCTAACTCATGAATATATGAATTTTGTGTTCATGAAGTAGAACATAATCGGTGTATCAGGACCTGAAGCATGAAGTTGTTCTAGCCGGCAAATGATGTTAGTTGCGCCTAGTATTGCATGGACTCAAATACCATTGAACCTTGGCGTGCAAAAATTGTCTCACTAAGCACCTAAATGCAATACCCTTTGAAATTTTGTTTATGAGGAAGTATGGGCCAATAGAAAGTGGTATTATGCAACTATAAACCACTGTTGTACCTCAACGACGGATCGACAATGCTGAGTTGGCGATCAGTTGAGTTAGGGCGAATTGCAGCTGTATGCGAGGATCGCATCCGACAACACGGCTGCACCTTTCGTCCGTTCTTGTTTGCCCACACCGGGACACTGTATTGTCCGTAATGTTCACAAGTGAAAGGCTTGCAAGCAGTTTTGATGCTCACTGCACCACGGCAATTTGTGATGAATTATTTATTCAAATGAATTATTTTCTCTTCCAAGTCCAAACCTGAAGCCACCGCTTTCCAGTATGAAATGCGTCCCAAAATAGCAGAAATCACGTATCGAATGATATGCCTCATATAAAGTTTAGTATGTACAGAACCACTGACTTTACGGTCACAATCGATCAGTCTTTGACTCCCTGGAGACGGATCGATCATGATTTCAAACGTCAAGTGTCTTGTTGTAAAGAAAGTGCCAACTCAACCAAGGAACAAAACGAGAACCAGCAAAAAGAATACGAGGACGATGATACAAGTAAACCCCGTTTGATTTTTGAATCTCAGCATGGTTTGCCAACTTAAACGAGGAAAAGAAGCAAAATATCTGATAACCAATTGCACCTCAGTTCTCCTTATACTTCGACGATGGGCGAGTCATTTGTGCCGCATTTTTCAATGAGCTTATGATGCGGCGCTGATAGTTGTTCTACCACCATATAGGATTGCCATATTTTATCACGTTTTAAGCGCAGTATCTGCCGTTATGCAGTATACATATAGCAAGTGATCTCTTGTTTCCTATGCCATACAATGATACTCGATTATCTGCTAAAAATGGAACGTAAAAAAATGAAATGGCCGTGACCCAACTGTGGATTTAACTCGTTATTATTCCACTGCATGTCTGACGTTCTACCCACTGAGCAAACCTTGTTTCAAGGAGATCAGCTACTGCTGCATTATCAGTGACGAGCAAGTTGTTTTTTATCAGTAAAATAATGCAAAATGTATCTAGTCATTGAAAGTGATCAAGTACTACACAAATGCGACGCGCTTCGAAGATCCCCTATAAATCCATGAGCAAGCGACAATGCAGCCATTCAGAAGTCAGACTGAGTTACGAATAGTTATGTGCTTTTAAATTTAAACGGCTTAGAAATATTGAATTTAGAGAAAGAACCATCTAATGGCTCAAAAGAAATCAAAGGACTGGCTAAAGAAAAATTCTATTCAAAGGATGACCACAACCGAAGAGAGTGTGTTGTTTAAATAAAGGTCTCTCTCGATGAAAATGAATGACTGAAGTGAAGCAAAACAGATTATCACGTGAGGTTTCTGATTCGTTTGCATTGAAATCATACCGGGATTAAGAAATGTCCCTTATTCGAAAATGGATAAGTCCTTCTCTCAAATAGTGATGGAAATAAGTCATCAAATCATGAACATATTGTCAACGAAAAGTGTTAGGAAGAAACCGCGACATATCCGTTGTATTTTAAGTGGACAAGATATTAATGGTCGTGCTGAAATGGAAATTATGTTGTCATACTCAAAACTAAATGAAAGAATAGACAGGAAATCGTTAGATTAAAAAAGTAACTGTTGTTCTGATGCCGTAAAGCATAGAAAGTTGAGGAAGAGACATCTGGACAAAATATCTGATAAATGGGCTGCGAAGAGGATAAAGAGGAACTGGAAAATTCTTATGATAAAGCACTCATAAAATTCATTAAGCAGAGAAAAGTTGTTGGCACATGAAACAATGCAGCAGTGATTTAACAGTGTAAAAAGTGGATGAACATGAGCAAAGAGTTACACCTCATTTATATTTGCTACTCCGTATCTACCTGTCAGATAGGGATTGACTAAGTGAACGAATGAATGAAAATCCATTGCGTTAATGGAGTAGTGGAGCGATTTCCTTGTTCATCAGAAATACTCAAAATCGGAAAATCAAGCAAACTCGATTTTGATACCTCCGGCTGGCAAACAAGATTTATTCGCTTATTATTGTGCATAATGGTCAAGATGCCACGAAAATCGTTCATATATGGTACGAATTTGAGATTTTCTCGACCGGGATTTATTAATGTTCATAAATCGAATTTCGATGCATACTTAGCGATGAGCTGAAGGCTGTAAAGAATGGGTATCACATGCCAAGGAGGGCATATAGTTGATTACTTGCTCACCAGTTATTATGACTGCCGTGAAGGTCCGACATGAACTTGAAATGATAATGAAGAATTGACAAGCAGTCTTTAACCTTGACTGTGATTCCAGATGGAACAGTTGATTGCCATGGTCTGCTAAAATTCCAAATGAGTACGTTGCAAAATTATCTTATCATTATTCAATCTCTCTTCTGTTCTGAAGATGTCGACGTATGGAAAGTACGGCCAAAGATACGCGTGTAGCTTTTGGATATCAGTCGATCTTACAACTCAATAATGTATATCATTCGCTTATGATGAGTAGCTAATCTTTTTGGTACACTATCAGCCAAAAGTGTCTTTCTCTAAACGCAATTGTCGCGGCTTATGTAGCAACAGTTGTAAAAAAAGGAACATTCATAACCATTGGAATGTCAATCTCTCTTACATTTACATGATGGAACTCTTCATGAATTCAGGTACCCTTGTTTTCCCAAAGTTAATCTCCATTTCCTCGTCACCAGCTAGGAATGCAATATTTTTAAAGTAGTGTCAATAGCAGCGTTGTGATAAGAACAGTCGGTATTCTCCGGTTATCTATTTATCAATCAAGGAAGAAAGGCGAATGAACAAACCGGGCCTCTAACCCGGGACTTTTCGGTTCCGAGTGTGACGCCATAACGACCTGATAATTTTGGTCATCAGAGACAAAATGCTGTAAAATCGATACTCAAGATAATTCGTGTTCAAAATAAAATTACCCTCTGCGGGAATCGAATTTTGCACTCCGGGACTCGAATCTAACTTTGTACTTATTGTACCACAAGGCCACCAAAATATGCAGAAAGTATTGCGTGCAGTCCTCTGCTTTTTCTTTTTGTTCATCAGGCTGAAGGCAAGTGACCAAGGCTTAAATTCATATTATTTCGAGTTTTGAACCAGACGCTCTATCGACCTAAAACTCAATTCCTGTGTAAGGCATGGAGGAAAAATTGTGAAATCCGTTCGTCATGCCCTTTAATATCTGAGCAGAGGAAAACCAGGAAATGGATGAAAAGGTCCAATGACTTTGCTTGGATAGTCAAGACCGTGAAACAGCCCCATAAAAAAATCACGCAAAGTTTTATATTCCCTACTCAACCCTGTCGAAGAAGCCGCTCAAATAATGTGTACATTATTAAGGTAATCGGTTATGAGAAATCCTTTGCTTCGGCGACATTTTTCTCTTGTGCGGAAACAGTGCGTTTGGAAAT